TATTATTTTATATTTTTATTTTTTTTATATATATATATATTTTTTTTTTTAATTCAGTGATCATGGTCTTATGTTTTTTGTATATCAGCAAAGCCAGGAGTGTGTCCTATATTCAATCTTGATGGAGCAGTGTTCAAAGCGTGTTTGGAGATGTGTTCCCATGACGGTAACTGTCCGAATGATGATAAATGCTGCAGCACTGGATGTGGACATCAGTGTATGCCTCCGTATAAAGGTATTTATATTGTTATATTAATTAATTGAAATTAGTTTAAAAAAAATTAAATGCAGTGAGGCATTCAGTGATCTGCTTTCTCTATCATGTTTGTATAACAGAAAAACCAGGAGTGTGTCCAAAAATCAATCTTGAAGATGACATGATAGGAGATTGTGCTGAGTTGTGTTCCCAAGATGGTGAGTGTCCGGATGATGAGAAATGCTGCAGCAATGGATGTGGACATCAGTGTATGCCTCAATATAAAGGTATTTATATTGTTAGATTAATGTGAATTAAATTAGTTTTTAAATGCAGTGAGCAGGGCAGGACTTACGGGGCCAAGGGCCCCTGGGTTTGAGGTTATGTTTGGGCCCCATACCTATACTACAAATGCCCTCAACTAGAACATTATGGAGTAACACAAAATACACCAAAATTTAAATATGCTTTCAGGTTCATATACTGTATACATTTAATAGGCAACATGTCTAGCCTAGTCAAAGTTTAGATGTAATACTAAAGGTGCAATGTGTAATATTTACATCGATATATTGACAATTGCAATATAATATACATTACTATGTTTTCAGAGGTGTATAAAGACCTTACTTAATTAACCGTTATGTTTTTATTACCTTAGATTGAGCAGTTTATATCTACGTACACCGCGGGTCCCCTTACATGGACATCGCCACCATGTTTCTACAGTAGCCCTAAACAGACAAACTGCTCTGCAGAGGGCGTTTCATCACTTTGTTGTTGTTGCGAATAAAACACTGACACAATGATGAACAAGTATATTAACATTCGCAATAACTTCGGTTTATTAAATTAAGTAAATATAATTCTTTTAATTTACCTTTTGTAAAGAAATATTTGCTGTCTTTACACTTTACCGACATCTTAGTCCTGTATCGGCCACCGTAGCTTCTCTAAAGGGAGGGGTGAGCGGGGGACTTAGCCGTTGGTTGCAATTCGCAACCTCACCGCTAGATGCCGCTAAAATGTACACTGCACCTTTAAGTAGTCACTATAATACAATAAACAGGATGTGATCTCTCAGTTGAGAGATCAAAACCCTGAAATAACACTGAGCAGAAAAAAACAAAGATGTATTGTGAAAATGTATCGTCATATCTGTGTCCTTTTGTCAGATTCTTAAATTAATAAATTCAATCTGAATAAAAAAAAACATGTTGGCTATTAACAATCAAATGAAATCACTAAACTAAATCCATATATGGATTTTGCATAAGTTATGTTCAGTTAATACAACATTTTAATGTAGAAATATTAAATTGCAAAAATGAAATTGAGCTACTTTTTAAAATATGAAACTACAACCGCCAGTAGGTGGCAGCAAGTGAGTCTTAATGAGCGAGTTGAATCCTTAAATCAACCGTTTCGTTTAAAATGCTCATTCATTTAACTTTGCCAACGACTGTACTTGTAGTCTGTTTGAACCATTTACTGCTGTGTAATGCTGAGAAACAAAACAGTGTTGCTCGGAGACGCATTGATGGGGCAAAACAGAATTGTGTCTGAAAGTTATTCAGTAACTTGTTTATTGTACATTTGCGATAGTGCAGATATTCGGAAAAACAGGACTCTAGTTTGTGTGATAGGCTAACTCCTATATCGTAGGCATTCACTCATTAAATGCAGGGTTCGTTCAACCAATACATTTCAATGAGTTAAGGCAATATTCATGACCTAATGCGCCATTATTTTACACAAATGTTCGGAAAATGAATGATTATTAGTGCTATTTGTTTGCTTTCTAATAAGCACAGGCTGCGACTGCGCCAGGTGTTACTTCATGCAGAGAACGTAAGTTAGGCTACATAATCGCATAACTGAATGCCAGAATGTTAAGTATATTGTAATTTGCTTAGCCAGTATTATAAATTAAACTCAGGACCTGAATTTAATTTAAGAAACCGTTTTGGTGGAAAACATTCAGGTACAGAAATGCTGCAGAAATGGAATAAACTGTAAATTAAACAGATTAATTCTTAATTTAAATTTACAAAAATTATTCAGTCAAGAGCAGTGTAATTTTTGTCTTTTGTTAACATTAACAATAACCAATAATTAATTAACATTGTAAACATTTGGTATGAAAGTGATTGCAGCTTTTATACCTGCTGTCTGTTAAAGAACAAAAGAAAAGAAAATCACTCTGCTCTTGACTAAACTTTCATATTTAATATGGAATGTATAAATATAATCTATATTTATGACTTTATACATCATAGTATTTTGTTCCTGAACAGTAGAAGCTACTGTTAGTTTTAGGCTAGCCTGCCTGAAAGCTAAAATGCAGCTTTTCATTTGTATCCTTGTGCTATTGCATTGCTAGTAACTTGTTCATTTATTACTGACCGTTTAATTGTCTTTATGTAACATTATTTATTAAAACGCAAGGTTACTTGATATATAGTTGATAATTTCTGCTCCACATTCTGTGGAGGTAGTGAGACGGGACAAAGTCCCTGTAAGATATTAGGGTATTCTATAGTCTTTGGACTGGAGAGAGTGTAACATTAATATAGAATAATCCGCTGTTACGAATTGAGGCGTGAACATGTGAGAATGTATCATTATCTTTGTAAATGTGCCCTCTTTTGGGCTAAAGGCTTAATTGAACTGTTTAAAGTAGCCATGTGATCACAAATTATTCGGCGATTCGGCGCAGCGCAGATGTGATTTTAATACTTGTGTCCTTTTTCTATGGAAAAAAAAAACATAAATTCCAGTTTATGCTGTTTGATTATGGGTTCGTAGTTGGAAGCTGTTAGAATCCGTGTATCATTCGATCATTCGTTTTTTGATTTAATATTAAAAGTAGAATGAGAAAACGGCTCCATTTTCGTTTTTTTCCAAAACGTGAAAAAACAGAATTCAGCTTAAATTTGTTTTTCGTTCATGGGTGGAAAAATTAATAAACAGCTTGAATATTGGATTTCTACATGTGGGCGGGCATTAAACGCCCCTTTCTGCTGATTGATCAGCCGAAGATCAAACCATGCCATCATCAGTTCTTCCGCAGGATCACGCAGCAGAATAATAGTCCTCCACTGCTGCAGTTGTACTGATTTAATAACCCATTTTATTGCAACCACATTTAATCTTTTTCTCATCAAACAAACGGGCTAATGAATAGCTCGACAACTCCTACCGGGGCAGAGTCTAGACAGGGCTTTCTTCTGTGTGGACCAGCGGTTCTTAAAGTGAGAGGGGGTCCGAGAAATAATTTGCTATAGCCTAAATTATTTCCAGACTGTAAAGTCCGAAAGTCTTGTATGGCAGTGTGCAGCAGCTATTAGTGCAGATGAGATGCGCTGATGTGAGGCAATTTTGAGAGCGAGAAGACGCGGTACAGCTGAACCACACACGCTCTTTTCAAATGATTGACTTGATCTGATATTCTGTTTTTTTTTTTTTTTTTACAGGGCTTTCTTCTGTGTGGACCAGCGGTTCTTAAAGTGAGAGGGGGTCCGAGAAATAATTTGCTATAGCCTAAATTATTTCCAGACTGTAAAGTCGCTTTTTTTTTTATCATGATACATTGGCCTAATGTGATTTATTCCAAAGTGATTTATGATGCATTTAATGTAAAATAATCTAAATGAAGCCTTTTAAAAGATGAGTATTCGCTGTGTTTGATGTTTGTGGCATGCTCGGGAAAGATGCTCAAGGAGACCGAGACGTGCTAAAGCAGCGCATTCTGTTGTTCTCTTTATTTTTCAAAGGCATGACATTTGGTAGTTATTTTGAACGTAACGTTACACAATAAAAAATATAAATTTTACCATACGACTAATGACAGTGTATTAAGTTATTTCCCCTCGATGGAGGAAAAAATCCAAGTGAACATCAATCAGTACTCAATATTAATTTAAACCGCTTAAAATATGACTGCTGCTTATTTCCTCTGCACTTCTGCGCTTGTCTGTCTGCTTATTGAGTTTATTTAACTCCTCGCAATTTATTGGAACTGTGTGAACTAGAGTGACTACTCACCTTAATGTTGTTCTAAAGGCTTATTACTTAATAACACACAAATTTCCTGCTCTCACTTGCCAATTTAATGGCGGATAGCTCACGCCGCACAAGTGCATATTCTTTTGAAATATCATATAAATCAATTTTAATAAAACGCAAGACTACATTATATAACTCTAACAGTAGGCTATATTTAATATCTGTTCTCCAGTTGTCAGTCAGAATGACAGTTCTTGTGTGAACATAGGCCTATATATACCCAAGCCAATTTATTATTATTTCCTTTTTGTCTTGGTGTTTAAAATTATTTATTTTGAAACGAATTAATTACTTAAACAGACTTACTGGGTGAGCAGGGTAGGCTAAGACAGCTGTCATATCATACCCTGCCATGCCCAGCTGATGCAAAGAATAGAATTTATATCGACACAGAAGAAAGCCCTGTCTAGACTCTGCCCCAGTATGAGTTGTGTTGAGCTATTCATTAGCCTGTTTGTTTGATGAAAAAAGACTAAATGTAGTTGCAATAAATGCATTAAGAATCCATATAACTGCAGCAGTGTAGGACTATTATTCTGCTGTACTGCGAAGGCACGGTTTGATCTTTGGCTGACCAATCAGCAGAAAGGGGCGTTTAATTCCCGCCCACATGTAGAAATCGAATATTCAAGCTGTTTATTAATTTTTCCACCCAAGAACGAAAAACGAAAATTTAAGCTGAATTTTTGTTTTTCGGAAAAACAAAAACACAAAGGAGCCGTTTTCAATATTAAAAAAAAACGAATTATCGACTGATACACGGATTTGTTAGCCCCGGCTGACCCGTGTGCGCAGTTGAAATGTGGCTAATAATTTCTGAATGGCACATAACTGAACAAATGTAAACGGGTTAAGGCGGGGCCCCAGCCCATTCAAGCCCAATGGTAAGTCTGGCCATGGTAGTGAGGCATTCAGTGATCTGCTTTCTCTATCATGTGTTTGTGTAACAGAAAAGCCAGGAGTGTGTCCAAGCAGTAACCTTAAATTAGGAGCGTGTGCTGAGATGTGTTCCCAAGATGGTAACTGTCCGAATGAAGAGAAATGCTGCAGCAATGGATGTGGACATCAGTGTATGCCTCCATATAAAGGTATTTATATTGTTATATTAATGTGAGTTCAATTAGTTCTTAACATTTTTAAATGCAGTGAGGCATTCTGTGATCACTTTTCTCTATCGTACGGTGGCCGAGAGGTGCAGAACAAATCACAATTCTGAAAACAAAATAACAAATTACAAACGCAAATGCAAGTCTACAAAACAAAATAACAATTCAGAAAGCACAACAATTCAGACAAACCGGAAAAGTTGGGTATAGTTTGAGACGGTGCCATTGGTTTGGGATTACTCACCGCTGACTGGACGAGACATCTGTCAATCAACGTATACAGGGAAGAGCCAGCCGAAGAACAGCAGAGTCGTGGTAGAAAGTTCGGAGATGGTATTAAAGTAGCTCAGTTTAAATGTATTGTATGAATTGCCCTTACTATGGAATAAAAAAAATACGGGGTGTCTAACTATTGTCTAGTTAAAAGTGGCTGTAACACATCAGCTCCAGTGGTGCAGATGGTTAAGCGTGTGCCCCTGGCTTTTTGACGCGATCGATCAGGGGTTCGATCCCACCTTTTCACTCCCTTTTCAAATCTCGTATCACATCGTAAAGGCATTTATTTTCCATAAAAAATTAAGGAAAAAATAAAGTATCAGTTAGGGTAGGTGTAGGGAGGGCTTTATTGTACCAATAAGGTGGCATCCATTTAATAATTATAATTTACACAATGTTATTGTATACTGTTTTATAATGTACTACAATACTGAAGTGCAGATAATTGCCACTATTTGCAACAAGTAGTGTACTTGATAGTAGAAATCCTGCTATTTTAACATGGTGTAAATGGGTATTTGCACTATGTAAATGGCATATTGCTAAAAATACTGCTATTTTCACTTAGTGTAAATAGAATCCATTGCTAATTGAGATTTGAAAAGGGAGGGAAAAAAAAAGTTCGGCAAAAGGCGGGATCGAACCCGGGTCGATCGTGTCAAAAAGCCAAAGTCAAGCACTTAACCATCTGTGCCCCTGGAGCTGATATATTACAGTCACGTTTAACTAAATATAAATAAATATTTATCTCTGTCCGTATTTTTTTTTTATTTTATTCCATAGTAAGGACAATTCATACAATACATTTAAACTGAGCTACTTTAATACCATCTCCGAACTACCATGACTCTGCTGTTCTTCGGCTGGCTCTTCCTGTATACGTTGATTGACAGATCTCTCTTTCCAGTCAGCGGTGAGTAATCCCAAACCAATGGCGCCGTCTCAAACTATACCTACCTCTTCCGGTTTGTCTGAATTGTTGTGTTTTCTGAATTTAGTTTTTTTTTTTTTTATACTTGCATTTGCGTTTAACTTTATTTTGTTTTCAGTATTGTGATTTTGTTCTGCACCTCTCGGCCACCGTACTATCATGTGTTTTGTATAACAGAAAAGCCAGGAGTGTGTCCAAAAACCAATCCTCAAGATGCTATAATAGGACTGTGTGTTGAGTTGTGTTTCCAAGATGGTGACTGTCTGAATGATGAGAAATGCTGCAGCAATGGATGTGGACATCATTGTGTGTCTCCATATAAAGGTATTTATAGTGTTCTATTAATGTGAATTAAATTAGTTCTTAACTTTTTTTTTTTTTTTTTAAATGCAGTGAGGCATTCTGTGATCTGCTTTCTCTATCATGTGTTTGTGTAACAGAAAAGCCAGGAGTGTGTCCAAACAGTAAGTTTGGAATAGGAGTGTGTGCTGATATGTGTTCCCAAGATGGTGAGTGTCCGAATGATGAGAAATGCTGCAGCAATGGATGTGGACATCATTGTGTGTCTCCATATAAAGGTATTTATAGTGTTCTATTAATGTGAATTAAATTAGTTCTTAACTTTTTTTTTTTTTTTTTAAATGCAGTGAGGCATTCTGTGATCTGCTTTCTCTATCATGTGTTTGTGTAACAGAAAAGCCAGGAGTGTGTCCAAACAGTAAGTTTGGAATAGGAGTGTGTGCTGATATGTGTTCCCAAGATGGTGAGTGTCCGAATGATGAGAAATGCTGCAGCAATGGATGTGGACATCAGTGTACGGCTGTATCTAAAGGTATGTTATACTAATTCATTGGTCAGCTTTTTTTTCCCTTATTACAGTGATTGAGTCATTCAGTGATCTGGTTTCTCTGTTGTGTTTGTATAACAGTAAAGCCAGGAGTGTGTCCAAAGAGATTCCCTGGAGTAGGATTGTGTAAAGGGTTGTGTGTCAATGACATTGACTGTCCAAAAGATGAAAAATGCTGCAGCACTAAATGTGGACGTGAATGTACACCTCCATTTATAGGTATTTATTATATTGATGCTTTGTTCCCCAAAACGCACGCGCACGTGTTTTTTTTTATTTTTTTTTTTATACAAATTAGGTAATTTTTCTTTCATACGTTTTGTATAACAGCAGAACCAGAAAAGCCAGGAGTGTGTCCAAGCAGAAGCCTCCGAATAGGAGTGTGTGCTGAGATGTTCCATTTAAAGGTATTTATATTGATGCTTCGGTCCCCAACACACACCGTTTTTGAGTTATAATTTTCAACGGCAAAGTAACTGAATTTGGCCCATAGCACCATTTTCAAGCACATGGCTTTTCAGAATGATTAATACTCTTTGAAATACAACTTGCTCTAAAAGTAAAACTTGTTCATGCTTTCAGTGTTTTGTGATGCGTTTGAGTTTGAATGAATCTGAATGAACCGACTAATTCTGACTATCTGTATCCATGCAGTGATACCTGATCTATGTCTCAAACCAAATGTGTGCTGATGACTCTTCCCATGATGATCAGTATGCTGCCAGACAGAAGTGTTGCCCAACCACCTGTGCATGCAGCTAACCATGCCAGTTTAACCATCGGGAAAAAGTCCTCGATTGTTCGCTGAGTTTCTTTTTTTTGTCCATGCTATACTTGATCTTTTAAATTCATTAAATCATAGCTTAGTGAAACTACTGTGTATGAGTTTGTATGTGTGTGTGTGTATATGTGTGTATATATATATAAATGTTGTTGGGGTGAAGTACAAATCTACCAGAAATTAAACTAAGATTGCAGGCAGGGTAACCCTAATGTGAGAAATTTAGTATTTGTGTAAACACTGGTTTAATAGTTTTGAAAACTTTCAGTATTTAGCGAGTCAATATGCCTCTTTTTTTTTAAAAAAAAAAAAAAAAAAAAAAAAAACCAGATTCAAATTTTTTTTTTTTTTTTTTATGTAGTACTGATGACTAATGTACTTGATACTTTTGACTCATTCTTTTTTTTTTTTTCCTAAAATATGATTTAAAGACTAAAATGTGAAGTTTATAGTTTTATAAAACTATTTTTGTGAAAACCTACCCTGGTCACACAGTATGAAGTGTATTTGTGTAGGTCTTAAAGGTGTTTTTTTTTTTTTTTTTTTTTTTTTT